AACCATGCAATAAGTGGTAATATTAAATGACGTCATCGCGTTGAGATTGAGGGCGAAAAATAGTGATGTTCATTTGGGATATTTCAAATATCTCGAACGGGGTATGTGAAAACCGTACAATAATTGTAGCCCTTCATACGACCTATAACACTGTTTGAACGGATTAGCTATTGTTTGTACGAATTTTGATTTACGGTTAGAACAATTTTCAGGGTCTTTTAGATTTTGGTCTATAACTAAAACACGTTGTATATAATCGAAAAAATGCGTAAAACAAAAGCATTGCATCAACTTTAAAATTTCAAGTATTAGGCTATTTTTGGACCTAGTTTGATATTTAGACCTAAAATAACGAAGCGGCTAACGAAATTTCAGTTCAAGGTTCGGTTATTTTTTTACTACAACTAATCAAGCGATAAAATGGTGTTTTCTGAACCAGAACGTTAGTACATTGTTTGATGTTACTGAAAACAAATTGCGTCGTTTAATGCACCAATTTAAGCATAGAATAATCTTTCTGGATATCACCAAACAGAACGATTGAAGAAAATTACAAAACGTTTTTCACATAAATCGGTGGTGTTTATGAAACTTAATGTTACTTCAAAAATAGCAACAAATGCATCCAAATTACCGTGGGTACTTGCAAATTTTGACCAACATTTCTATCCTCAAATGCATCCACGCAGTGTTTATGGTAAACTGGAATATTGATGTATAATGTCTTCGAAAATCGTACTTCTAGTTTGGAGGGCAAATGCTTAAGATTTTCCCGCTTTTGCTACTACGACTGTTTGACATTTGACATTTTGACATTTGAATTTTCGAAAGTATCTGCGCTCTTATAAAAATATTATATCTCGGTAACGGTAGGATCTACGAGACCAAAAAAATTCTTGAACCAGAAGAAGCAGAAGATACGGTTCTATAAACTTTTCTTCGTGACAATTTTTCAAAAATATACAGGGTGCGCCGCAAATTAAGAAAAACTGAAAAATGGGTCCCACTATTATTGAAAATTGGTTTTAACTGAAAGACTATGATTCAGATCTCCCTTTTTTTATATTGCGATTTAGCCCGCATAGATCGGAAAAACTTTTGTATTTAAGGTTTTCAGCTATTGTACATGTGTTAAGTGTCCTGAATTTGCAGATATCAACTTCCAATTTAGCAGAGAAGTTAAAGTGTCCACATTTAAACTGTAGAAATTGGGCGCAATCAGATATTACCGAGTATTTTTTAAATATATTTGAATTTTTTTTTTTTGGTAATCTTAGCATCCAGAAAAATATGTTTTCCCCCATAACCGGCAGACGCATAAGATCCAGTGTAATAAAATTTATTTCAACAATTTTTTTCGATTATATACAGGGTATTCAAATTACAGACAAAAATTGTTTTTTTACGGAGTAAATTATTAGTCGCTAATCAAAAATCATAAAAAATATGGCTAATTGGTTCAAACGGTGTCATCATTTTTGGGGATCTTACGAGTCCTGCAACTGTCTGCTTCTCATCATAAACATTTTTTTTACTCCTTCGTCTAAGATTGGACGTTAGTAATATTGTAACCTATCCTTTCTCGTCATGAAATTTTTTAACAAACATAACGAATTTCGACGTTTTCGAATATTCGTTTTTTACGAGGACGAGCCGCTACGGAACACATTTCATCAATCAGCGTGTATCGAATGGGCCGTCCGTTTTGGCGTTTTTCCAATTTCCAATGTGTAGCCGCCGGCGGCAATTACGAAGTTACACACTGGAAGTCCCCGGACTTGCCGGAGGCGGCGGGTGCATCTCCGTAAAAAAAAAGCCGACGCGGTGAACGATTTTGTTTGGGACACACGATGCTAATCGGCGAACTCACCGTAAAATGGCGGGTCTAACATTATTTGTTTCATAATTGTAGTGTCTTGTCATGTCTTTCAGGTAAGATCATCCAAAAGATTTGTTTTCTTCATATCCTTCTATGGTTCTCTATTTTGACTTTATAAGCTGTTGTGAAAAGTTCTCGAACTTTATTTTCCCAGCTTCAGACTGCCTCACTTTCCTGAATAGGATGGAATCCTTAACGTTCGTCTATGTAACCACATGTCAAATACTTCTAGACTGTTGATTGTGTCGGTCTTCAGTGTGCAGAATGCAGCTCTGTACAACAGCTCACACTAAACGTAACATTGATTCATTCTTGGTCTTAAGTTTGCGTTCAGAGTATCATTACCCAACAGTGGTATCATCTTCTGCCATGTTGTACGGGCTGATCCAATCCTGCATCTGATTTCCTTATCGCAGGTGTTTAAAACTGGATACTCTGGTCAACGTTCTGAGCATACATCTGTGATGACACGCGGCTAAAAATCATAAACTCCGTCTTACAAACATTAATATTCAGTCCCACTTTCTCTCCCACTGCATCAACAGAGGTTCTGACTTGTTAACTTCTTAAATTGTTTGCGACAAATGTGATACAGCTGTTTCGTTTGAAGGACACGTTTGAAATGTTTTTTCTTCTTTTCAGTTTTTCTTTATTATAGTCAGCAGCTAATGTACAAGTTGACGTCTGTTAAATCTAGATTTTTGACGTCGACAACTTTTAACCAAGCACCACCTGACTAAAGTATTTTTGGCTTTTTATTACTTGCTTTTAAATTATTGATATTCTAAAATTCACATTTATGGTTAGTTTAGGTTAGTTAGTTAGTTAGACATTAATGGGTTTCTACCCCTGGCCTATTTTTCAAATAAGGTGAGATCCTTCTAATAGTCACACTTTGCGATAAGTGTTCTATTCATATTTCCTTATATTTACAGATTTTTTTGAAATCATTTCAATTTCCTGAAATTCAACCCGATTACTTTCGGAATTCCATGGAATTTCAGTAGATTTTTCTAGAAATTCCTTGGAATCCCTTGGAATTTCACTTGATTTTTTCGGAATTCCATACAATTTCAATAGTTTCTTTTTCCATTTCCTTGGAATTCCTTGAAATTTCTGGGAATTCGACTTGTTTTTTTTTTAATTCCTCAAAATGTCATTGGATTTTTTCGGAATTCCTTGAAATCTCGTGAAATTTCTGGGTATTAAACTAGGTTTTTTCGGAATTCCACCGAAAATCTGTAGATTTTTTTCGTTATTCCTTGGAATCCCTCAGAGTTTCACTCGATTTTTTCTGAATTCCTGGGATATTCACTTGATTTTTTCGACATTCTATTCAATTTCAATAGATTCTTTTCCAATTTTTTTGAAATTCTTTCGAATTTCTGGGAATTCGACTTGTTTTTTTCGGAATTCCTCAAAATTACACTGGTTTTTTTCGGAATTCCTTGGAATCCTGTGCAATTTCTTAATTTTTCGAAATTCATGTCAATTCCTTCAATTCAAAAGTAGTTATCACCGAGATTGGTGTGTTCTTTCAACAATATTTAATTAAACTTATTACGATACCTCAAAAATTTGAAAAAAAAAAATCTATTCGGTTTTCGGCATTTCGCGTTGACAAAGTAAAATGTGAAAACAAAATGTGAAAAGTAACTTTCCGAAATTAAATCGACCCTCGCGAAAACAATGTTCAGAGGGAGAAAATTTTTGCAGATGGTAATAACGAAAATTCAACCCGCGAGTGTCGTAACCAACGATATAAATTCGGATGGCGGTGGGGGATAATTAATTTTTAAGTTAGACGCCGCCGCGCGGCGGCAGAAAGAGCCGAATCAAAATTATAATATGGCCGCCGCCGGCGATAATTCAACCGGGAAGGTCGTTTTGCGGATTTAATTACATTATCGAAGTGTCATCTGCTTCCTCATTTGATAAATGCAGACGCGTTCGGTCGGAAATTTCGGGAAACCGTCTGCGGATATAAAATTAGGCGGACGGGGGAAGAAAAGTGCGGCCATATTGAATAATCGTCCGCAATCGACGAAATTACTTTATTTAGTTTGGTAATGTGGCAGTTCATTATAACGTTTTAGACGGCGAATTTGGTTCTTAAAAGCACTTCGCGATATACGAAAGAAAAGGATGAATGAGTAATATGAGCAAACATAGATTAAAAAATGGGAAATACAAGGAAATATGGCGATTTTTTTGAGAAATACGAGGAAACCGGGGATATATTGGAAAATATTTGGGCAATGCGAGGAAATACGAGGAAAGATGGTGAAATGTTTTTGTATTATGAGTAAATATTTGGGAAGGACGAGAAAATACAAAAAAATCTGGGTAAAATTTGTGTAAGGCGGCCTAGTTAATAAAAATATTCCCAGGTTGATATTAAAAATCTGGTTGACCACTTTGGTTTTCGAAAGCACCGTCGAGATAAACTGGTAAAATGAAAAAATATTTTTATGTAATTGGGCGATACGAGGAAGTACGGCGAAATAGGGGGAAACATTCGGGTAACACGAGGAAATGCATGAAAATATGGGGAAAGTTTTGGGAAATACGAGTAAATTCGGGAAAATATGGGGAAATATTTGCGTAGTACGAGGAACTATGAAGAAGCGTTTTGGCAATATGAGGAAATACGGCGAAATATTGGCAAACATTTGGGTAATACGAGGAAATACATAGAAATATTTTTGTGAAACGAGAAAACACGGGAAAATATATGAAAAAATTTGAAAAATATTTGGGTAATATGAGGAAATATGATGAAATATTTAGGTAACACGGGAAAATACGGGGAAATGTGAAGAAAAAATTGTGTGATGCGGCGTAATTAATGAAAATATCCCCAAGGGTGAAATCAAAAAATGTCCTCAAGCACTTTGGTTCTCAATAGCAAGTTCGCTATATATGAAAGAAAAGGATAAACGAGTAATATGAGGAAATATGGCTAAATAATTGTGCAATACAAGGAAATAGGGTAAAATCCGTAAAATCGGTAAAATTAAGAAACGATGGCAGTTCCTAAGATGACAAAGAACACCGTTATTTAATTTCTATATAATCTATCTTTGTATAATGTTTAATAAAAAATAATTACTTTAATATAATGCCTTGTTACTCCTCGCCATCGAGCATGAATCACCCCGTGTTGGAGAGTGTTCAATTTTCTCGAGTATAAACATGTTAACCGCATCGGAAATTCTTTTGAGATTTATCTCCTGTTTTCAGGATCAGTCGCCTTTCAGCCGGAGTTTGCGGAGCCCATAGAAAACCTGTCGATCCCTAAAGGAAGAGACGCGACATTTCGATGTTTAGTTCATCACCTGGGGGGATATAGGGTAAGTATATTTATTGCCGTTGACAAGCCGTCGAAACATCGCGTGTTACGGAAAATAAAAGGAAAGATGGTGTGTAATAAAGTGCGGGTCTGGATGAGATTACCGTCCCAATATGTCGACGTAGTGGGGTGTAAAATTGAATTTGTAAATACGGTCGAACCCGACACCTTATCTCGAAATCGTTTATATTCTTAAAATAATATATTTGTCAACATACTAAAGCCATGGAGCAAAAAGGAAAGTCCTTAGATCCAGTCAACCTCAAACCAGATAATGCTATTGAAATCTTTGGTTTTTAAATTAAAACCCAATATTTCCTGTGCGAACGATCACATTAGCTTCGACTGTCCCAACTTTTTCAATTCACTCTTGTTTAAAGTTAGTTATTTCAAGGTTCCTTCCTTCTTCTTTCTTCATTTTTCTAAATAAACTTTAACTGAGAATGATGTTACCATGGATCTGCTAGACCTAGACCTAGAACTCTACCACCGATGAGTTCATTTTATACTATTCATGTTTTTGTCGTCTTCATCGTTCATCAGAGCGCGTCACCTATACTTACAGCCCTCGATATTTCACGTTCCTCCCGATACCTCTTAGTCTACGCTGACAAAGGCCCCCGACGTAAATCAAATCCGAGCTGGCAACTTTTTCCGCCATCATGCCACTTTGCAAAGAATACACTGCCATAAGCGTATCGATTTCCTGTTTGCTCCGTAAGTGGAGAGAAAAAATGGCACTCCATCTGAACGTGCATCACATTATTCGAGGCAGATTTAAGATACAAGCCCCGTTTTTCGATAGCAAAGGTGATTTCGTGAGAAAGGTTCGGTCGGTAAGTGCGTTTTCCGTAACAAAAATTTGAAGAAAGGATTTCTGCCCTTCACAACCACTTCTCAATAATTTTATCCCTTGATTGAAGATTTCAATGAAGAGGACATTACATATGAAAGGGCTACAAGCTATCAGTTGCCCACTTCTTGCTTAATTTAAACAATCCAAGCTCTCTGCACATTGTAATTACTATAAACCTATTAGCTATCGCAGTGAGGAAAGAAAAAAATGTATTTGCGAACAACCCAACAACTCTCTCTATTCGCCGTAATACGCTGCCCACCTTTATATTTTTGTGTGTCTTAAATTCGTACCATCTTTTGTAAATGATAGAACAGAAAATGCAATACTTACTCTACTTCCCAGGATTGGATTTTAGGTCCACTTATGTCTGCGATTTTCACATGATTACAGTTTTGTTTTCATCATCTTTATGCCTATGACACTCATCTGTTCTTTTATTTTTCTGGGAAGTGCCTCAACAAAACAAACAACAGCGTTAATCTTGTGTTATTGCTAGTACTTAATCGAAATAAATGTTCATTGATGATGATATTCAGAAATGACAATTAAACTGATAATAATAAAAGCAACTTAACTGTTTTGGCTTCTTCGGGCAGTTGAATATTACTCTGATTTTCTATACAAATATAGAGGGCACGTTATAAGCAAATTAAAGGTCATATGAATTAATATATGGAAGTCGTACTTTGTCTAAATATTGTCTCAGACTGGCATATTTAGTTAGACATCCAGCATTTGAAAAGATCCTTCCGATACCAAATTATAAATATGAATATGTCTCCTTAACAGACTTTTGGAACTGAAAAATAAGTAGAAATAAGTAAAATGCTTTCTTAGATACCTCCCTTGGTCTTTTAGAGACTTAGTAAAGAGAGATTCAACTTAAGTAGAATGTCGTCTGGATCTAACTTAATACTTTTTCGTTAGTGAATAAGATGAAATCTGCAACCTTTTCCTGTGAGAGGTTTTGCAATCGAGGCTAGATGTATTGTTAAAGAGTGTCCAAGGTGCTCGAGTAATTTCACTTTGGGAACTTTTAGTTCCCCACTGATTTTAGAACACTAATTATCTTGTCTAAACTTAAGCTTACACTAAGCTTACTATAGAAACCATTTCTAAGGCTTCTTGCGCGTAAAATTTCTGTTCTTAAAACGTCATTTTCGGGACTGTTTTAAACAAAACAATTCGTCTTCCTAACTTTGGGAACATCCGATCTAATTTTACCGATTCTTCGCAATTTGTCTGTCGACGACGCGCGACCTTCGGATTGAGCTCAATTTTGGCTCGCTATCATGTATCTCACGTAAAAGTGGCTGCTAAGAAATGATTCAAATAAGATTTCCGATTTCAATTTGCGTAATGGCCCTTCACTTCGCCACGTGAACGAACCGAATTCTCCGAGGAAACGTGACTGTCGACATTTTTTCCTTGTACCGACTGGCTTTTTGGTTCTCCCTTGGTAGTTATTTGACTCTATTGGGAAAATCGAAATATTTTTTGAAGTTTTTGAAGGCGGTTCTTTCGAATGGTCGCGATATTTCGTAACGAACAGGCAACACTACGTCTCTCTTCATAAAATATTGCTTTGAAAATTAATACTAAATTTTTTTTTATAGACCATTTTTTATAGACAACTAAATAGAATGTAATTTAGGTCTAAATTAATGGTTTTAAGTTCCTTAAATTATCAGTTTTTCCTGCAAAGCAGTTTTGTAGAGAATCTAGATATTTTGCTAGAAAATAGACTCTAGCAAATTATCTAGCTTCTATTGAAAATCATTTACAGGGAAAACTGGCTTCAAAATTAATAAAAAAAAACACTTTCTTTTATAGACCACTATTATACTATGTTCAAATATTTTGGATCCTTCCTACGTTGTAGAGACCAAATCGTTATTGCTAACACTATTAGGTCTCCAAACTAAACAGAATATACAGTCGAAACTCTATATAGCGAAATTGAAGGGACTGTTTTTTTTTCATTATAACGAGTTATAGGCACTTAAAACATCTACTTAGGAACATTTTATATATATTCCCCCAGAATACATAAAAAATTTCTCTAGAAGCTTAATGGAATATAGAGCTTGCTGAATGGTTGGTGGTGGTCCCAGATCAACTTCTTCATCTTCTTCTTCCGCTTGGTGCTCTTCCTCACCCTTTCTTGCATGTTGTAATATGGCTTCTTCCGTCAAGTCTGCTGTTGTAGGCAAATCCTGATCTATCGCCATAAAATCTTGCAACTCCTCACTTGTAAACGTAATTGTTGTTTGAAACTGCTTTATCCACTGTCTTAGTGGCTAATAATCTTCAAGTCCTGTTCGCATTCTGTCTCGGTAATAACTCCCGCATGACGATAGGAGTGTTGAATTGTTTCTGCTGTCACCTCTTTCCAAGCTTTACTAATAAAGTTGACTGCATGTAGCACATTAATAGAAAATTTGTCTTCGGACTCGATTATTTCCATTATTCCATGATTTTCCTGTATCGACTCTTAAAACTTTTTGTTACGCTCTGTTCAATATTCCGCAGATTCCAACTAGATTTTTGAAGGAGAGATACGGAAATGGGATGCAGAATTAAAGGGGAGGAAAATACTACTTCTCTTAGATAACTACCCTGCGCATCCCCATATTTCAAAACTACGGAATATTGAAAACAACATCCGATGAACCAGAGCGTAATAAAAAGTCTTAAGAGCTGGAGCTGGAAAAACATTTTAATGGAAATGATCGAGTCCGAAGACAAATTTTCCATTAATATGCTAGATGCGGTTAACTCTATTAGTAAAACTTGGAAAGAGTTGACAGCATAAACTAGTCACCATGAAATCATCGTCATGCAGTCAAGCAGTTTCAAACAACAATCACGTTTACACATATTACACATATTACAACAAGCAAGAAAGGGTGAGGAAGAGCACCAAGAGGAAGAAGAAGATCTGAGACCACCACCAACCATTCAACAAGCCCTATATTCAGTTAAGCTGCTAGAGAATTTTTTTATGTATCATCGGGAAGATGCCACTCTCGAAGAAATGGTGCAAATGCAAGCCAAAGTACGAGACGCGTATTGGCGTACTAAAAAAATTCAAAAGAAAATGACCGTTTATTTGAAACATTTTGAATACAACAGCAGACTTGACAGAGGAAGCCATATTACAACAAGTAAGAAGGGGTGAGGAAGAGCACCAAGAGGAAGAAGAAGATGAAGAAGTTGATCTGAGACCACCACCAACCATTCAACAAGCCTTATATTCAGTTGAGCTGCTAGAGAAATTGTTTATGCGTCATGGGGAAGATGCCCCTCGCGAAGAAATGGTGCAAATACAAGCCAAAGTAGGAGATGCGTATTGGCATACTGAAAAAATTCAAAAAAAATGAGCGATTATTATTATTATTAAGTAGATGTTAAAATATGTATATAAAATAATTAAATATTACAGAACACATACGCGTATTGTTATTTTTCAAAAAAAAAAGCGGTTCCTTCAATTTCGCCATATAGAGTTTCGACTGTATGTAACTCTATCGATCCTGTGATCTGCGACTTTTCGATCTCCCGATAGCGAAAATTTCGTAGGAAAATTGGAGGCTGAATATAAAATTATATAAATTCGATTTCTGTCGGGGGCACTAAATTAATAATTATTTAGATGAGCAAATAAATTAATACCCAAAAGCAGGGAAACGCAATTGGAATTTATTATAAAACCGCTTAATGCAGTTAATAATGTAACGGTGGGATCCCGCGTTGTTTATTCGGGTTTGACGGTAAACGCATTGTTTAATTTTACACTTTACGATTGGATTTGGGTGTTCTAATTCTCTGGTTGTGTCGCGTGGACAGAAAAGTATCGGCCACGAACGTCCAATCAAAGGAGATCGCAAATTTCATCGTTCGTTAGTAAAATTGTTTTGTACAGGGTGTTTAAACACTAACGCGTATTGCAACATGAAAATGTCATCTAAATTTGTTCCTTTAAGAACAAGAATTAAATGTATATCCGTATTCTGTATTTTCTACGTCTAATGTAAAAGTGAAAGTTTTGTTGCAGAAAAAGTATTCTATACAGGGTGTTGTCGTAAAAAACTCATGTTTCAACACAAAAATATGCGCCTTATTGGTTACTTTACAAGCAA